ATAGCCTTTCTAAAACATAAATCTGATCATTTCTGTCTCCTCTTTAAAAACCCACAATACTTCCCTCTGTCTGAGGATAAAATCCAAGTTGCTTACTGTTGGATTACAGGCTTAAATGGCTCTGTACCAGCTGTTTGGCTCCTGCTTACCTCTCTAAGTCTTCTATCTACTCCCCTCATTCCCTCCATCCTTGAACCCTATTCTCCAGTCATGAACTCCGCTTAAGTCTTGGACAGCTCCATCTTTTCTTACTTCTGGGCCTCTGCATATTCTCTGCATGGAACTTCCTTCCCCCTCCCTCCATATACTCCTTAATTCCTGCTAATCCTTCAGGTCTCATCTTAAATCTTACTTCCTCTGAGAAGTCTTCTTGCATAGTTCCTGGCACATAGTAGCTACTCAATAAATGACCTTTCTTTCCTAATTCCCTTGTTTTAGTTTAATGTCAGATTTTGCAGTTTTAATATTGTTCAAATTATTTTACTAATAAAATACAAACACAATAGGTTACTTTACTTTTTAAAACATTCTATTATGAAGAGCTACCAATAGAATATTTTGAGTGATATGATGAACTTTTCTACTAATGAGGTTCATCATAACTGTGGCACTTGTAACACTGTCCCAAATAAAAATCAACGTAAAAAAAAAAAAAAAAAGGACTTGCTTCCCAGCTTTTGGAGAATAATTCTCAGGAAAGGTTGACATGGCCATAGAACTAACGTGTATTATATATATAGTACTCTAAATTATGTTATAGATGTTTTACTCTTCTAATTCATCTCTTTATTTTTATCAGAGCAGTGCCCACTAAGTGATGTTTAAAAGAGCCAAATTTTTAATATTTCATCATCTACATACATGGCACCTACGTGAAACATAAGGACGCATAAAATATTGCATTAAATCACATACAATGTCTAATACCTGGCAGTTTTTGGCCAACAAGAATGGTAATTTCATCAATTCAACCTAATACAATATGAGTGATATTGAATAAAATTATGTAAAGAAAAACAGATCAAGAAAAATTATAAAGGTTATATGTATATGAACTTGAATATATATAGGTATCACATTTATAAATTCTTATACTCTAAAGAAATATCAATTTTCTAACAAGCTTAAGATGATCCCACAGCACAAAAGTTAATTTTTTTGAGTCACTGAGTTCCCTTTAAGAATCTAATAAAAGCTACATATTTTCTCACCAGGAAAAACAAAATGCTTAAATGCTTATATAAAGAAAGTCAAATTTCTAGTGACTCAGAGTCCATGAAGCCAAGATCCAAGTTTAAGAAGCTCTGCAATAGCAAAATTTTAAACTATAAGCTAACAACTGAATAACGATATTCAACCAAAGTTGCCTTCCTGAGAAAGTGCAGGATATTCATATATTAAGTAACCACATTATTTTTCAAGGTAAAGTCTGATGGGTGAATGTATTTTCTCATTTTAGCCTGGCTGGATCACAGGAACAGAAGGCATATCAGAATGATTTAAAGTCATGTTAGTAAATTAGAAAAAAATAAACACCGAAAAATATTCCTGATATTTAATGTCACACGGGTTTCAGAAGAATAAAGTTATTTACCCAATCCAATGTGCTTTATTAATAAATCCTATTATCCATACGCAGAGGTAACAATTTATTTTTTACCTGTAACAGTTGCATTTATTTTAAAACCAGTCAGTTTACTGAAATAACTGGGTCATCTAGTTCCTTAAAGTTAGAGGAAAGTGATTCATTTTCAAGGATAATTAAATGAGAACATGTCCATTCCAAGACTATACGACCGTACACAAATCCTATAAAAATAATTAAAATCCAAAAAAAAATGTATTACCTTTGACAGAAATTCTATTGTTAAACAGGCTGTGGATAAGAAATCATGAGCTCCAACTTTTTTGCCTGTTCCATGCCTGCAGTCACCTTTGTCTGTGAATGCTTTAACATGCAGCCGTGTTCTGTAAGTCCCTGATTTCCTAACATTTCCAGTTCCCAGCACATGCTGCTGTAATGATGGCATGATGACTCACATCCTTACCACACTCCCACTTTCATTATTCAGTGTAACACCTCATCCTCCACAACCTCTCACGGGTTACAGCATATCAGAATGGGGAAGGGGTAGGAGCCGCCGACAGTGGAACAGGCCTGAGTGCTTTTTCAAAACTGCAAGCTGCTGTGAAATCCATGTAGTGGGTTGTGACTAGCAGAGGGAAGGGTAGAAGTTTAAAATGGAATAGAATATAATATAGTAAAAGAAAAACATCAGAGTGCATCATACATTGTAAGCATAAGTATCTCTTCAGATGTGTGTGTGTGTGTGTGTGTCTGTGTGTGTCTGTGTGTGTGTGTGCACGTGCGTATGTTTAAGGTCTTGATATAAAAGCTATTTCAAAATGTAGGTCTTGGTTTAAAAACAATCTTAAATTTTCATGTTGGAGATCTACATTCTAGTCCCAGCACGATCCCTGAATACTGTACAATTTACGTCTTCCTTCTTTCAGTTAAACCTCACATCAGCCTCACAATCATGCTATAAATTAAAATGGTGTCCCTTGGGTACTGTTTTAAGTATCTAAGAGAAAGGTACTCTCCTTAGATAATACAAAACAAAACGAAACAAAACACAAAACTAAATAACAACCGTATTATTGCTTTAAAAAAAATTCCTATCTATCTGTTCATGACCAAATAAATCACTCTGGTTGCACATAGCACTTCCATCTCAGGAACAATCCATTCAGATCATATTTTGAACTTGTCTTCTAACATTTTATGTTTCAGTGTCTCTCATATCTCACGTTTCTGGCTTGACAGTCGTTACTTACCTCCATCCTCTGAGAAGCTTCATAAATTATATTGAGAAAAAATATTTCCCTGTACACTTCATATTTTTAAATCACTTTCCTGGGTTTTTTGTTCTCAGTTATTTTCCCACAGTTCTAGATTTCCCTTGAAAACATTTACCTATACCTCTTAACTCTCTACTCTTTTATTCTTAGAAATGCATGCTATATTTTAATGGATCCCTACAGCACTGCCCCAAGTTATAGTACTTCTTTCTGACAGCTCTGGAACAATCAGCTGGCTGAAGCCTACCTTCCAAACCTACTGCCCACAAAATTCAATCAAAGGCACCATGACCACTGTGTTTTCAACGTCTACAGACAAATGTGGCTTATGCTTAGTCACCTGGCTTAGCCAAATAAAACAATCAGTCATAAAGCCTTTAAAAGTTTGCATTTCAGGAAGAAGACTTCAGAGGTCTATCTTTCTTAATACCTTTGGAATATGATCTCTTTGAATACAGAGTTCATTTGGAAGACAATGTAATCTTTTTCTCCTCAAGTTATTTACGTTCAGCATTGAGTTGCACTTTTGAAACATTTAGAATTTAGTTTAAAATAACTTAAAATTCAAAAAAAAGTCTTACACCAGAAAAGTGTTGCAGTGGGTATTATGCTTAAGTGAAGTCTGTGTCAAAATACATTTTAAGAAATGAGCTTAATAAATCAATGACTACTCTATCTTCTAATTGCTCAATCCCAAATCTGTGGAATCACTTTGACCCCTCTTTTCCTTTCACACCCATGTTTAATACATCATGAAATCCCTTTGGTTCTCTTTCAAAATATACCCAGGTTCCAACCACCTCCATCTCCAATCCATCTCTATCCCCACTATTATCACCCTGGTCAATCTATCATCATTTCTCAACAGGGTTACTGCAAACCCCCTATCTGATCTCCCTACTTCTACTCTTACCTTTCTATCGTCTGTTCTCAACACTGTAGGCACTATAATCCTCTAAAACCTCAGACAGATCTTATCACTCTTCTACTCAAAACCTTGTAAGGGCTCTTCACTATACTCCAAGCAAAGCCTAAAAACTCTTACAGTGACCTACATTTTTAGGCTCCTTGTGAGCTCTCTAACTTCCTCTCCTATTGCCCTCATTTTCATTCACTTCATTCCAGCTACACTGGCCTTCTTGCTGTTCCTCCAACTCACATGGCATGAGCCAGCCCCAGGGCCTTTGAACTAGCTGTTGCCTCTGCTGAACTGCTCTTCCCCTAGACATCTCCATGAATAATTCATCTCCTTCACCTTCAATGAGGTGTACTCTGACTACCAAACAACAACTATAACTTTCCTTCTCCCCACCAATCCAATCTTGCTTATTTTGCCCTACTTTTTCTTTTTTCATAGCTATTTATCACCTTCTAACATATTAAATATATTCTTTATTATGTTAATTGTTTACTGACTTTCTCCTTCGGCAAGAATGTAAAGTCCATAAGACCTGGGATCTTTGTTTTTTCAGAAAACAAATTTATATTTTTGTCATGGTTAGGTAAGAAGATTCCCTAGTATATTCCAAAGGTACAAGAATTTACATCAGTAAATTGGTTCCATTTTTTTTTTAAATGTGCTATCTCACCTTGATACCACAATTCTCTAGATAAAGATTTCTATTTTAACTTATTTATAAAATTTGTTTATTTATATCAGACACCTGATAAGGAGCAACGTATCCACAAACATTTGTCAGGTGTGGGATGGAAATGCGTAGATCAAGACAGAGCTTTCCAAGTCCCTTAGAGAAAGGAAAGCACGGCCTAAGCAGGCTTTTCTTGCTTGGTCCTAAATAATCTTAAAACAGATGGCAAAAGCTAAATACTAAGTCTGCTGCTATGGAAACCACTATCACAGCAACCCATTCTAGAGCCCCACCTATGAGATAAATGTTTGTCTCCCTCTTGTTACAACCTGAACCTGCTAACGTTCACTCTAAGTCCTACTAGAAGGTACAGCCACTATAGATACAAATCAGCTTGACAAAGAAGTCTGAGAGAAACTAGGTCATACACCATTTCACCTTAAACATAGTCAAAATCCAGCAACATACTGAGAAAGAGTTTTATACAATTTGCCATGTTATTCTGCATTCAAGTTCCACATTTATTATCTATAAATTCATATATCTTACCTTAATATTGCAAGCCTGCTCCATTAACCTTCTTGCATTTTCCTCTGCCCTGTATCTCTTTGGAAGCTGGACTCTGAAGAACTTTAAAGCACCTTCAAAATCAGCCTGCAGAAGATCTTCCTTTGAGGTCTAAAAAATAATCACCAAGAATCATCAATTACATTTTAACCTACATTCAGAACGAATACATTGTAAAAGGAATTTCTATTTTCCTGAATGTACTTTTATAGCCAAGATCTAGGTGAGCTTCAAAAATTTTTAGGAAGAGATTTCTAACCTCTTTAACTATAAGCTGAAATAAGTCACCATAAATCCTAGACGTGACAAAAGAATTAACAGGCTAACATATTTAATTTATATTACCTGAAGATTTGAATAGTGGATCTTGGCAAAGCTAACCATGTTATGGCTCTAAAAAAAGAAAAATGCCAGAAAAGGAAAAACTTTGAACTCTGGGACTAATCTGTGATTTTAGCTTGGTAGGCATTTTAAGGATATTTTACAAAGCTGGCTGAAGACATAGACAATGCAATCAAAGCACAGCAGAATTATATAATAAACACCTAATGAGAGAATGACTTTTCAACTAGTGACAGTAGCAGTTCAAGTGAAGAAAATAAGAAATTGTACCCATATCTTTTTTTTTTTTGTTTTTTTGTGGTATGCGGGCCTCTCACTGTTGTGGCCTCCCATTGCGGAGCACAGGCTCCGGACGCGCAGGCTCAGCGGCCATGGCTCACAGGCCCAGCCGCCCCCACGGCATGTGGGATCGTCCCAGACCGGGGCACGAACCCGTGTCCCCTGCATCGGCAGGCGGACTCTCAACCACTGTGCCACCAGGGAAGCCCTGTACCCGTATCTTAAAGACTGTTATAAAACAGTAAATGAAGCAAACCACTTAACTACTGAACTTCTTATGAAAACTACTGCTTACCAGATTTACGTAAGAAATAACCACCACTTATAAATATATGTATACCCAGAAAAAAGACTGAAAGGAAATAAAAGAAAATGTTTCTCTGGATAGTGGGATTATAATTTTTTTCTTCTTTATATATTTTGCTGTTTTTCCTGCAGTAAAGATTTTGTAATAAGAAAGGCAATAAATATTTTAATAAACAACTATAAGTAATCGCTGGCAAACACTGAGACACAAATTAAGAGATTGAGAAAGACTGGGTACACAGAAGTAGGCCAAGACAAAAAGAAATAAGGTGTTTTAAGAGTCAGCACTTAATTGTCAAAAACTGCAGAAATCAAACAAAAACAAACAAACAGACAAAAACAAAACATGGTGGCTAGAAATCACAGAGCTACATGCTAGTTCAAAATATTACTTTATTTACATTCAAATTTAAAACTGATTAATCTTAAAGACTGCATTGAAAGAGTATATGGAAGTCAGAGGAATCCTGCTCATAATGAGTTGTTGTCATCACCACCAGCCTGGTCTAAGCCATTGTCATCTCTCAGCTGAGCCACTGCACTAACTCCCCAACTGGTCCCCCTCTTTCTGCTCTTGCTCTCCACAATCTACTCTCCTTACAGCAGCTAGATGATACTTTTTCAGATCATGTTGCTCTTCTGTGTAAAGCTCTCCAGTGGTTCCTATTGTGCTCAAAATAAAACCCAAAATCTTTACCATTGCCCACAAGACCCCTCAGGATATGGGGCCCTTGCTTTCCCCTCCAGCCTCATGTTGAATCACATCTCCCTCCTTGCTCTCAAGCTCCAAGCACACTGGCCTTCTTTCTGTTTTCTTGTACACACCAAGTTCATTCCTAACTGAAGGCTACTGCCTGTTCTCTCTGCCTGGAATATTCTTCCCCCAGATCTTCATAATGATAACAACTTTTTGTGATCTAGATTTTAGCAGAAATATAAGATCTGAGTTAGGCCTTTTCTGAGCAGTTAAATTCTTCCCCCCAGCCCATCAAGTCATTTTCCATCCAGTCATTTTCCAGTTTTACATCTGTTTTCGTCCTAAGGAAAGGGGATTTGTCTGTCTTGTTCTTTGCTGTATCCACTGCCTAGAGTACAGGAGGTACTCAACAAAAATTTACTGAATAAGTGAATGAATTCTACTTCCGCCTCTCTTCCACTATACATATATAATTTTTTCTTCCCTTCTCTCCTCCCCTTTAAACAGAAACATGTAAAATAGAATAATATATTAATTCACACAGTAGGCATTTTCACAGGGAACTAGGTTGGCCCAAGTTTAGATTCACAAACTAGTAGTCAGAAGACAGAGCCAGGCTAATAGTGCCGGGGAAAAAAACAAGCTTCAGTACATCTCAGATTTATTTCCTCCCTCACAGATACTGAGAGATGGTGGCAATAAGCAGTGGAGAGAATATTTAGCATGATAAAGTGCTATCATCTCACCTTAACTTGGTTGGAAAAGGCAGTTACTGGAAACAACTTCAGCCCCAAAGAGGGCCTCTTCAACTAAAATATCAACTGCTGAATTACTGAGAAAGCATCCACCTACCAGTTATGCCAGATATACTACATCCTTTTTCACCTGTAATACTGGTTCTGATGTTTATCTCTTTGGCAATTGTTGGGAAAGTTCAACACAGGCTGCTTACAGAGTTTGTAGCGAAACAGGATTAGTAGCTTTCTTCATTAGTCAAAAACCTTCTAAGGGCACCTCTTCTATTGTCAGTGCAACTAACCTCTAGTTACCTGCAAACAGATGCCCCAAAATGGTGGGGAGCAGTCTACTGCCTACAGGAAGCAGCATGGTTACCTAATTTTCTAATACGGCCCAAGGCCTAATTTCAAGTCCAGCCTCTGAGTTCATACAAAAGCAGAAAGATTAGGATTAAAGATGAGAAGCCAAATATCCTGTGACATTTGCCCTCTGGTCAGGCAGGGATGGCCAGGCACACAGAGATGCTGTTTGGAGGAGGCTGTAGTCTCAGGGGAGGTACAGCAAGGAGCTCCCTACCCAGGTGGGGCTGAAGCTCAACTCAGGTTAAGTCTCTGGAAACCAGAATTCAGAGTGCCCTGTGACTGCCCTTTCCAAGACACCGCTGGTGTTAGTGAAGCTCCAGATTGCGTGACTGGCCCAACTCAAGCCCCTGAAGAGAGGAGTTCTGATAATCATGAGGCAAGTGTAGAAAATGCATCTTATTTAATCCTCTAATTTTAGCCTCTAGGAAGTACTTGTCAATTAGAGGTCCTCAAGCAAGGTTGCAAAGGATGGAATAGTCATTTTAATTCCAACTCTGGCTAACTCATGGTACTGCATAATTCTCCACCGTTCTCCTACTTTAAAAGTGGGACTATATCCAACCTCGAGTATTTGAGAATGAACAAAGTTAAGGCACATGAGTATATTTTGTGAACCCCAAAACAAATGTAGGGGACATTTTGGAAAGTTGTCTCTGTTGCTCAAATATGCTCAGATACTGAAATTTTAGTATAACATTTTGTTACATTGCTTATAGTCCTTTTTTCCTAACCTTACAGATATATTTCATATATATTTAACAAAATTTGAGTCACTTTGTACACATTATTTTGTTAAATATATACACCTCATAAATGTCAAGCATTGATGTAATAATATTAGTCCAAAATATAGGTAGTGGTGCTTTCTATGAAACTAAAACATGGCTTCAATCACACATACTAATTATTAATGAGCTGACTATGGAGATATTAACTTAATTAATGGTTATAAATGAGTTTATAATTGCATGAATGCTAACCCTCTACTCCAACAAAGAAGAGAAGTTTAACACATGATCTTGTGATAAGACCCAAGCTTTAAAAATACACCCCTAAAAGGCAGACTAACATTTCAAAAACCAAACCAAGTCCCTGAAAGAGGTTGGGCTGGCTTCTGGATAACATTATCCATCTGTACTCACTGTACAGAACCCCATCAGGCTAGAAGAATTGATTTAAGTTGGAAAGGCTGTTCTTCAACTGGGAAATTCTTAGAGTTTTTCTATATTACCTTCAGAACAATAGTGAAGGAATAGTAAAATAATGAAAATGCAATCACTTTCCAAACATTATTTGCTAAGTAATGTCAGTCAGAAGATAATATAGACAAGAACCAGGGAATTTGAATAAGCAAAGGCATGTTTTCTTCCCTTGTACAATAAAGGAAAGAACTCTACCAGCTTTTAAGTAAGAACTAATAGATGATAACTTTTGAAAATCAGTGGCTCTACTAATACTCATCTTTTCCTCTCCAAACTTTCTGTCAAATCCTTTTAAGTGATGATAGGAAACATGTTTACCAATTACACCTTCAAAGGTAACATTACTTCTTCCTCATTTCTATGAAAAGAGCTATATAAAAAGATTACCTGGATAATTGAAAAAACATTTAAACAAGTCCTACTTCTATTTCCTTTCAAGTAGGTAGAAATAAATATCCAGAGGGAAAGGTAAGTAGGATGCTAATGTAAGAATCCTTCCCACTCACCCCAGTAAAATGAATTAAGCACATTGCCAGGCACACAATAGACACCAACATATATCTGTTCCATGAATTTATAAAGGATCTACTTCAAGCATACTCACTATTAATAAGTCAAAAATTTATAAGATGCAAATTAGAAAGGAGATGTAGGACTTATTTTGATATAAAAATTGACTTTTATATTTGGGGGGCATCAGAATTGGGGGGCAATTCTTTTGTATATTGGGGGGCATCAAAATTGCCTTTTATATTTGGGAGGCAACTTTTATACTTGAGTCTTTAACTTCTTTTAAGAGTTATCATCTCTCTTCAGTGAGTAATCCTTGCAGCAGTCAACAACAGAGGTAAAAATGGGAGAGAAACTTTCTCCTCTGCTCTTTTATTCCCTCCTTAAAATTAATGTTTTAAGGAAGTCCACAAATTAAAAAAACAAAACTAGGATGCAATTTGACAGCATAAAGAAATATGATCAGAATTAAACTTTAAATGGTTACTGGAGGGACAGCTGGAACGTTTGGCTATAGATATATGTCAATCCTCTTCAGCCTGAGAGTCCTTTGGATTCACCGTGCACAGTGCCCAGAGTAACAGATTGAAACTACAGCCAACACTGAGATCAACATATAATGATCTGATAACTTCCCATGTTATATAAAAGCAAAAAGAAAAAATCTAGGAAGAT